CATTTGTAGTTTTTATCATCTGTCTTGTTTTCTCTCTTCCTCTCTGTCCTGCAGGTGTTGGAAAACTATAATAAAGGGAAGACAGCTTTATTGTCAGCTGCTAAGATAATGGTTAGTCCTACAGAAGTGGACCTGAATCCAGAAACGGTTTTCTTCGATGCCTCTAGTTCACTGCAGCCCACGCCTGCCACACATCACCGCAGAAACAGTAGTGTCCGGTGAGTAACGAGAGCCAATCAGAGTTTGAAACAAGCTGACTGACCAACCAGAACATACCAATGAGTGATCAATGTTGCAGATTTTCTTTAGGTGTTTTTAAGCATTTCTTATCGTTTGATTTTAACTCTGTTGCCTGTCCTTCTCACTCATGCCGACTGCAGAGGTACAGTGTATGGTACTATACAGTTCCCCCCTCGTCCTCTCTGGTTCAGTAGAAAAGAACAGCCTAGACGTTAGTCACGTTAGTGTTGCCTAACCATAAACCTCCCTTTTCTTTCCCCTCTTTCTAATTTTTTCCTTCTCTTCCCTGTTCTCTGCTTTATTTTTGATTTAATATGTTGAATGTTTTTTTGTTTTTACCCTTACTTTTTTTTATTACATATTATTTGTCGTCTTATATAATTTATTTAAATATGTATATATATATATATATGTATATATATATGCATATAAAATTGATGCGAATAAATGTAAAAAATTATACATCTTACATAACATTTTTTTATTAATAATTTTAATAATTTTTTTCTGTTTTTCTTCCATTAAACTTTGTATTTTTTCTGCATTTTATGGCATTATTTTCCTTTTTTTTAATGCATTTTTTAATATCCTGCATTTTATGGCATTTGTTTTTTTAAATATCCAATTTTTTCCCTTGCAAAAATTTTTCATTCCCTAATTTTATTGTTGTCATCCTTCTCTTTTCCCCCTCCATGCTGTCTGTCTCTCTGGTCTTTGTTTATTTTCTCCGTATGTTACTCTACTCCTGTGCCCACTTCCTGTCCTGTCCTGCTGTAGTTCCTGTGCTCGCTCTGAGATCTCACTGGATGGTTTCTCGGAGTGTCCGCCTCCTCCTGTGCCTGTGGTGCTCACCGGCACCCGTGAGCGATTGGCTGTGGAGCTGCGGGAGCAAAAAGCCCCCTTGGCCATCATGGAAAATCTATCTGACGCCGAATCCATCTACAGCTTGGACTCCCGACGATCATCTGCCGCCCTGAGAGGCTCGCCCTGTTTGGGGAGTCTACCTTTCCCTTTGGACGCCACCATCCCAGAAGAGAATCCTTCGCTGAGTTCCCGTACGGAGCTGCTGGCCGCAGATGGCTTGGACCGTGAACTGGGCGAGGCCGGCCCGTACTGCCCTACTCCTCCAGAACTGGAAGTATCTTCCAACGACGCCCATCATCTCAACTTCTCTCCGCTCTCGCTTGGACAAACTATCGTAGGTCAGCCGGCCAGCCAAGGCAAGAACTCCCGGCGGTCTTCAGGAACGCCTGTGGCTTGCCAGCCATCAGCTGTTCCTAACAGTCAAGAATCCTGCCCAGTAGCATCCCGGCCTGGTTCTATGCCAGAAACTCCCAAGGATAGAGAGTTTGAAGAGGGAGAAGTTGAGAGTGTCCGGTCCGAGACTCTTCCACCAGTTCCTCCGCTGTCCAACGGCACGCCCAGTCAGGCGGTCCTAGAGTTCGCCCAGTACCTGGACTCTCTATTTAGGCTGGATGGCAGCAGCTCCCCACCTCTTGAGCTGTCCGATGCAGAATCCGAGTCTGGACGGGGATCGTATAGCCAGGCTGAGGGACAAAAAGCAGACAAGGACAGGCAGCTACTGGCTAGAGCCACTCTAGAGCCCAACTTGGTTCCCAAGCCGCCTCGCACGTTTGCCGGCTCGGCTGACCCTTCCTCTGGCATCTCGCTTTCTCCATCCTTCCCGCTCTCGTCTTCTGGAGAACTCAACGATTTCTCTCCTCCTGACGGAGTGCTACCCACCAACCATACGTCTGCGCTACGAACTTCTGCTGCTAGTCCCAACCCTAAGGAAACTGTGTTGTCGTCTATGGTGTAGTGGCCCACTTTCGTCTATTTATTTAACCCTACGGTTTCCTTTCTCCTTCTGAACCGATCGTAGAAACGTGCATGCGTAGCACCGCGGCCAGTCCTTCCAGACTTCCAGACTTCTGGACCGTTAAGGATTCATCAAGAACAGAAGACCTCATTTTGTACTATTGTAAGACATGTCTGAATGCATTGTGTCTTGTGCATCACCATTATGAAGTGTCCTAATCGCTGCCTGCAACACACGAGGTGCTGAGGGGCTCCTTCGAACACTAAAGATGTTGCTAGCATATCAAGAAGCTTGCACAAATGACCCTACGTTCACATTGAATCTAATGTTACGGTTATGTTTACATTGACACCACAGAACACCAAGCTTTCACAAATGTTGGCAGTTTCATGTAAGGGAAAGGCTGGGATGGGAAAGAGGGAAGACTAACTAACTTAATTGAGTTATGGGGAGGGGCGCACACAACAAGCAGTGGGGTACATTTCCTCAGGACCTTGAAGAATGAAGAATGGGACAAAGACGTCTCAGGCTAAGGATAGTAAATTGCTGATTTTTTTGGATTGTACTTTTTCTTTTTTTTTTATTGAAGATTGTGTGGAATGTCCTGCTGAGTATGTGTAATTGGTGGCACTGACGGTTGGTGGACATCTATGAGTTCTCGATGTGCATGAGAAAATACTGTATGCTCGTGTAAAACGTTTCGTTTTGCTAACTTTTGTCATCTTTTATTTACATAAATCCACTTGAATTTACGCATGCAAGTTTTCTATCATTTCTTTTTCCACCGATTGCCAAAAAAGCCAACTTCATACAAGTCAAATGTTTGAACTCTGTGAAATTAATATATAATGATAATTACTGTTATTAGGGCTGTGCAATTAATCGCATGCGATTGTCATGCGCATCTCGTCAGTAAAGCCGGTTCCGTGATTAGTAGTAAATCTCCATCACCTGCTTTCAGATGGAGCGGCATTTACTACACAGAGCCGTAGTTCACTGACAATTAGGCAATATCGCGTTCATAATCGCAGATGAATCGCATTCGATTATGAAGTGACTGCTGTACTTTTTCACAAAAAGTTGTGTATAGCACTGCCTTTTCACGTGAGTGTAAATACTGTCTTGTTTCCAGTTGTTGTGTTCAAAAAATAGATATAAAATCAATGGGACTTATCAATAAAAAGCTCTATCATGTACCATAGTGATGACTTTATCTCAAATGTATAGCTATATTGATAGATCTACAGTATAAATTATAAATAGAGAAAAATGCTGACTATTCAGGAACAAAAATCTGATACTGTGGCCATATGCTGACTTCAGAAAATATACGATTGAACATTCATTCTTAAAAAAAAAAGAAAAGAAAACTCTTTTCATGTCTGTCACTACCCTGCCAGTCTTTCAACTATCAAGAATGAGAATGTATTTAAATGCACACACTTACACTGCCCTGCCTGTAATAGAATAAATTATATGGATCTCTGACTGATTTTGTTTCTCTTGACTTTGTTTATTAAGCTGTCTAGGGGGTATGCTTGGATGTTTTATTAACTTAAAGTTTACTACATAATGGCAATACAATATTCAATTCATTTTATTAATAAAAAAAAAAAAAGAGTAACTCATTTTATGGCTCATTAGCATAAAGACCTTCACTTCGTTACAGAAAGCTTGAAAAATAAAGACAGAATATAATGAATTTTCTTCATTATCTGGACTATTTCTACAGCATGACGAAGAAGAAAATATTGAATATTTTTTTCTTGAATTTATGGGAAATATAAATCTGACCTTTTTTGGAAATATTTTCAAGGGTTTTCAATATTTTCAACACTTAAAATGTCTGTAATACAATGATTTTAGCCTATCCCACCTCAGAGGTCAAGACCTTGATCCCATCAATTTAATTCAGACAAAATTTTGATTTTTACAATCTATTGAATTGATATTCAATTAATTATAATTATTTTTTACGTAGCTCATTTTAAAGATCAAAAACTAGAAATATAATTTCTATTCATTTTTATTTCAGTTTTAGTTATTTTACAAGTTAAAGTAAAAAACGATAAATGCTGCCTTGGAAAGTTGAAATAAGTGTTTTTATATTTTATTTTTTTACAGGTTATTTATTTATTATTTAACTGTAATAACCCTGCAATCAGTGTTTCCTTGAAATTAAGCATTTCCTTTCACTGACTGTTTGTTGAATAAGAAATATACGTTTTTTAAGGGGTTTTAGGGCCTATGGCTGTAGCCCAATCATGGAATGTGCCGTATTGCACCATGACCATGTATTATTACTATTATAAAGAAAGAAAGAAGAATAAAACTTAAAATGTTTACAAGTACTAGATAGTACAGCTTTCTAATTTTTCAAGCCTAATAATGTTTTTAGGTAGACTATTGTAAAATAAAAATAAAAAAAACTTCTTTCCACTATATTTACGTTCATGTATCATAATAGGAGTAGCAGATTAACTGAATAGGATTTCTTACGAGGACTGCCGCATGTGAGGATTTTATTTATTTATTTATGTTTTTGTTATTACGAACATTCTATCAACCAATAAAAAGCCGTTAAAATACAAAATAATAAGAAGAAGTAGACTATTTTTATATAATAATAATAAGAATCACAAAACAAATAAATTAACTACTAGACAGGGGTGTAAAATTAAACAAAACACATTACATTCGAAGGAAAAGATTAAACAGCTTACAAATTTCAACTGTTTTTAAAAGCCTTCTTATTACATGAATTAGAAATAGTCCCAAAGTAATGCTGTATTTCAGCAAGCAAGACATAAAACAGTGGCTTCTGACATGAGAATTTACATTTATGTATATACAATTTTGTTAACAAGATAAGGAGAATAAGTACAATTTGTTTTTCTGTAACGCACTTTTATGCGATGATGTGTTCTGTATTGGATGACCGTAGAGAGTGACGCAGCAGTGACGCGGCGGGTCTGTAATAAGGATCCGCTCACTCAGTAAAGCGCAGGTCAAACAGCAATACACACTCACACACACTTTATCACATTCACCCTACAACACTGAGACATGGACTCAGACGAGGGCTACAATTATGAGTTCGATGATGAAGAGGAGGAGGAAGAAGAGGAGGAGGAGGAGTGCAGCGAGGACAGCGGGGAAGAGGAGGCCGAGGATGAGGAGCTGCTGGACCCGGCCGTGGCTGGAGGAGAAGCCGAAGATTGCGCTGACACCGGCGGCGGCGGAGGAGGCCTGGGGCCCGGTCAAGAGGAGGAGGACTACCGCTTCGAGGTGCTTACCACCGAGCAGATCCTCCAGCACATGGTGGAGTGCATCAGGGAGGTCAACGAGGTCATACAGGTACATAACAAGCAGATTTACTGTCGTTTTCCTGGGAGTTTATAAGTTTGTTTATGTGGAGGTCTGATGCTGTTAGCATTTAGCATTAACGGCTAACTGACATGAGAGGACTAATGATGCGAAGTTAACCATTTGTTTTTAATCTTAGTTGTGATTTATTGACTGTTTTTATGTTTGTGTTTTGGTGCCTTGTGTTATTTTAGTGAATTTAACGTTAAGTGATTTTTTTTTGTCAGGTAACGTTAGAGCTAGTTCTGCTAGCGCGACCCAGTTTACAGAGACTGAACTTTATTTGACAGCTATTATGGATCGTATCTATTCTAAACGTATCGTATGTTTTTAATCTTATTAAAATTGTGTTATGAATCAGATGGCAGTGTGTTTTATGTTCGTTGTTATTTTGAAGAAGACTAAAGTTTAGCGCTGTCACTGCAGCTAACGCTATATGACACATTTGTTTATTTTTTCACAGTTTTAAGTTTATGAAACACCAAACGTTCTCCATACACAAGCATAAAACACTTTAAAGTTATTTTTCTAGGTTGACAACATCTATTGAACTTAAAAGCACATCTATCAAACAAACTAGCATTGCAACTTTAGAGAAGAACAGAAAACTCTGGTGAAATATTATAAATGTGTATTTGTGCATTGATGAATGACAATCATTGGAGTGTTTAGATCAGGAATATAGGAAAAATTCACGAGATTTATTTTTTAAGAAAGCTGCTACATGAGTCTGCATCAGTTGTTGGCATGCATGTTGTTATTCAAAACATGTAAAGCATGCATTATTGGACAGTAAAGATAAGATACTTATCAATTTGTATAGCTTATGGAAAACCTCAAAGTATTAGTGTTGTGTTGTTGGGAGTTTATTAGATGAACCTCACAAAATGTATCTTCATAATACTAGACAGTCTTTCTTATATCACCCATAAGTTGAGCTGTTAAAGGCTTAATGGTGGAATTGTAAAATAATAAAGTGTGTTTATTAGTAAAATTACTAAAATGTATGTTTTGGCACCCATTCAGTCTCAGGGTTACATTTGAATCATAAATAGCTTGACAGACAAACAGCTTGGCCTTTTGAATTGTAAGCAGTCAAGTGGGTAAAACCTAATCTTGTGTAGCCAAATGATTGACATAACAGCAAAGTTTAGTTCACTTTGCAGCTTATCCTGACCAAGCACCACCCACTTAGACAGAAAAAGACCATCTGAGCAAAGTTGTTTTTTTTTTAGTCTATTTAGTGGTTTATATGAAATATATTATACCACAGTAATGAAAGAACATGTCAAGGCTATAAAGATATATAATAAACTTTTTTTTTTTTCCAAAGTTGTAAATAAAACAGATTATTGGAGTAAATTTTACAAGAAAATACTAAGTATTTAAAAAATTGCTAGCAATTTCTGAGTGAAACTTATTTCTACATCAATTTTTCAGTGTATAAATATAATAACAAGACTGTCTGTGAAATGCTGTACAAGGAATGCTGGGAAATTTTGTATCAAGAGTGCACGTAAATTTGGGTTTCTTCTAACCAAGCTCCTCTAACGGTGATTTTAAGTGTTAAAAAACTCTTCAACTTTTGATAGATCCAGTTATTCGTTTTTCCTCCAAAGCGCTAACTCTATAAGCCTGGTATCTTATAAACACAACAGGAAAACCTTTATAAAAGTCCAGAAAGTTGCTCAAAGTCAGCCAAATTAAAGTTAATCATATTGAAATATGGTGCACTCATATTATGAATGGGAGAAGGTGCAAAATGTAATATGGCATAATAAGTCCTCCTGTCTTCTAAATAAGAGGCAAGCAGTTTTTGATGTTTCAGGATTTCCCGATTCATTCAGATAAGTCTTGGATGCCCAAAATAGCTGCCCGTGGCATCGCAAATATGGCTGCAGAGTAAACAGTATTGTGTCTTTTTTAGAACCCAGCTACGATAACCAGAATACTCCTCAGTCACTTCAACTGGGACAAAGAGAAGCTTATGGAGAGGCAAGTTGTTTTACTTTATTTATTTTACTGTATTTATACATGTTGTCATAAAAATTTAGCATAGCTTGGTTAAAGGACATTTACGATTGGTCTGTTTGCTGTTTGAAAGAGCAACATTTACATGGTGTTGCAGGTACTTTGATGGAAATCTGGACAAGTTGTTTTCAGAGTGCCACGTCATAAACCCCAGTAAAAAGCCCAAAATGCGACCAATGAGCACACGCTCCTCCAGTCAGGATATGCCCTGCCAGATCTGCTATCTCAACTATTCAAACTCGGTCAGTGTCAGTTTTGGTCACTTTGTTCACTACTGCTCCTAAATCTTCATCAGTTCCTTAGAAAGGCCTGTGATAACAAAACTGAAGTCCATTGAAGTGACTCAGTTTGCACAGCTTGGTGACTTATTCGGTAGGAATGTGTGTTTCCTTTCCTAGTATTTCACAGGTCTTGAATGTGGACACAAGTTCTGCATGCAGTGCTGGGGCGACTACTTAACCACCAAAATCATTGAGGAAGGGATGGGACAGGTGGGCTTCTGTTCAGCTCATTGCTATCTGATGTTACAATCAGATTCCCCACTTAATTTTGGTTTTTATTTCTGCTTTTGTTCTTCCAGACCATCTCATGTCCTGCTCACAACTGTGATATTTTGGTTGACGATAACACTGTAATGTAAGTGCATTGGGTAATTTAGCTTGTTTATTTTAAGATGTTTGTTCTATTTTTTTTTAAGATATTTTATGGGTTATTTTGTAGGCGACTGATCACAGATTCTAAAGTGAAGTTGAAGTATCAGCATTTAATCACAAATAGTTTTGTAGAGGTAAGACGTTCTTCATATTTGTTGCATAAATTGTGTCTAAAATGCTATTGACTTGCTTGCTTGCAACTCCATGAATTAGCTGGGATCGAGATATCAAATACTATTACAAAAATTTCAAATCCGTTAGCATTTGAGAATTTTAATTTAGAAAGAATCAATTGTTGTTGTTTTTTTAATATAAATTTAGTAATAAGCTAAAGGAATAGTTCACTCAAAAATGAAAATTTGCTGAAATTGGACACTCTCAGGCCATGCAAGATGTAGATGAGTTGCTTTGTCGGAACAGATTTGGAGAGATTTAGCATTGCATCATTGATAAAGCTGATAAAAATATCACAATAATCCACAAGTAATCCACATGACTCCAGTCCATCAATTAACGTCTTGTGACATGAAAAGCTGCATGTTTGTAATAAAACAAATCATTAAGACATTTCAAACTTCAAACCGTTGCTTCTGGGCTAAAAAAAAAAAAAAAGAGTCCTCTATCCATAATATTGCCTTCTCCAGTGAAAAAATAAATAAATAAAATCATCAGCTCGTCTGAATCAGGAGAGAAATATGCACGGATCAAGCATTGTTTACAAGTGAACTAAAACTATCCAACATTTTTTTACTGGCGGATTTTGGACAGAAACAATGGTTTAAAGTAAATAACATCTTAAAGGGGTCCTATTATGCTCTTTTACAAAGTCTTGATTTTGTTTTGGGGGTGTACTAGAACAGGCTCTCATACTAGGTTGTTTGAAAAACACATTATTTTTCGCATATTTTACATTATTACAACACCTTTCTCCCCAGTCTGGCATGAACGGCTCGAAT